TTGATGGAGTATAATCACACTAGTATAACTTAGGAGCACAAATAAAAAGGTCCATAATAGCCGCTCAAGTCATATATCATCCTAGCAAAGGCCTTGCATTGAGTTCGAGATCTCATCACCAGCTTAACTGGGCACTAGAAGGCCCATCTGCACCAGAATGAGAGCATGTCATCACTAGACTCGTTCTCAAGTATTGCAGGGACACACCTAGCCTCCCGACTCGCTTAACTTCTCTGGACTTCAGGCCAATCTTGTACTTTGTCTACAAATAGCAACAATTCCCCTTTAACAAAGGGACCCTAAATTTTTGTACTGTTACTCTGTTATTTTAATATCCTAATTTCTCACTCTACATTGGCTACAACTTTTCTCTAGAATTAATATGCCTGAGTTACATAACTCATCACTTCATATTCTCTTCTCCATCCTGATGTTCTTGATCTACGTTATCTTTTCCATTTTTTCACTATCAAAAAATGCATTTCTATTTCTCGCTATTCATCTTTCTTTCGATTTTTTATTATATTACATCAAATTGATGACACAGACAACCGCACAATTCATTTGTTCGCCTACAAATAGTTACACATTTGGTTCAAATAGACAATTAAAATTGATTGCACAGAAAACTGAAATTGATCACACACACAAATACTATATGTGAGTACCACAATCATTGTTTCCGTGACACAATATATTTAACCAAAGACAATTAAAATTGATCACAAAAACAAAATTAATCACACAAATAGTAGACACAAACAACTGTTGTTTGTGAGCAACTCTACTATTTCATCTATGATAAAATCTATCTCAAAATCAATAATTTAGTGAGAGACAATTCATATTTGTGCATGTACAATTCTTGTCTGCGCACAACAATTCTTTCGTGTGCACACAGACACTATTGACACTCACTTGTGCATCTTCTAGACAAGTGTCACTATAGGTTGGCACGAAAGTTGATGCCACATACAAAATAGTTCGACACATATAATTTTTTCCTGTGTGCAAAACAATTACGTATGTCAACACATCAAATGTCTGTGACCAATAAACGTGTACATAAAGTGTAAGGGTCTGTATACCCAAGGTTTTTTTTTTTTTTTTGAGAAATGTATACCCAAGGTTTGGTACTGCAAATATGTGTATATACGTGGAGTATGTATACATGTGAGTGTATGTAAGTAGGCGTGTATGGAGAGGAGAAAGGCGGGGGGCAAATGTTGCAGGGTGGAGCGGAGAGAAAAGCAAAAAGAAAAAGTCTTTCTCATCAGGAGCGCAGATCCCTATGGAATGCTGCTGCAGCATTCATTCATTGATCGATTCATTCCTCATATTCTTTCTGCATTGTTTAAAGGAACGTACTCATTGCTTTGTGTTCTTTACAAATCTTTTCACACTCACCGACATGTGGCCCATAGCCAGTCATGACATGATAAGATCACCCTAAAGCTAAAGAGACCATGAAATTTTGAATAGTATTACTTTCAACTCATTGTGCGGCTTGCTGTCAAAAAACAATTAAAAAATTTACGGCAAAAAGGAAAAGTAAATATGACCATTGTGTGGATTGTGTATAGTTTAATTATATACACGCCGTACATTCTATTTTTTGTGTCAAAACGCTCACTATTAAGGAAATGAAAGTAGTTAAGAATTCTTCTTTTGAAGGTGAAAAAATCATGCTATCTATAGAGAAAATAATGACCTACTCATAGAATTGTTCTCCCTCGGTCGTGAAATGTTTATCTGTCTTTTGAGTCGCTATTTTCACCCATAGATTGTTATTTGTTAACCTAATCCTTTAACTTTTATGTCCATTAACTTTTCTTACTAGCGGATCATATACTCCCTCCGTCCTTCATCCTACTTTCCCGAAATGGAAGTCCCAAAATGTTTGTCTTACTTTTTTCTTTTTTTTATTTGACAAACAAATCTTTATCAAATAGTGTTAAATAGTGCAAAACATCGTCTAACAGTGCAAAACAGTGTCAAACAGTGTCGCTATAGTGTCAAACAGTGTCGCTACAGTGTAAAGTCAAATTCATTTCCTTAATATCTGTGAAGTCAAACTAGGACAAACTTTGAGGAATGGATCGGAGGGAGTATATATATTCTATATCTATCAAGTCTCTCGTTAATGACAATCCATGATGAGCATCGTCAGGGGCGGAGTCAGGGCAGTGTATCAGGCTAAGCCTGTATAAAGAATATTTTTTGGAAAAAAAGTTACACATTTTACACAAAAAATATAGAAATTTTTTAAATTTGCAGTGGGCCAGAGCCTATCCTGGCCACCCCTAGCTACGCCCCTGAGGATTGTATTTCCACAACGAAGACACACATGAACAATAACACACGTGAATATTAACTTTTTTGTTTCAGTAGCACGGTGATATAATTCACGTTTAAAGAATGCAACTTATGTTGATGAGAAATATAATTAGAGACAAGTCAAAATGTAAGTTATCTATTACAGAGTATAAGAAAAAGTCCATTCCCAAAATAGGACTAAAATGTGGCAAAATTGCCCAAATAGGACTACATTGTTTAAATTCCCTTAATATGACTATTTATGAGTGTTTGGACTAATATACCCTTGTAGCTTTTGAAATGTTTGAATTAATAATAAAATCATTAAAAAAGAAAAAAAATAACAATAAAAAAATACAAAATAAATATAATATTTATAAAAAAATTAAAAAAATATTTTTTTTAGAAAATAAAAAACGTAAAAAAAACAATGTTACTCCTGCCATCCCCAGCACCACCAGCTCCCATCCCCGGAGAAAAATCTGCCAACATTTTAAATAATGCCATAATGATGACACATTCAATGAAAATGTTGGCATATTGAAGATTAATTATGCCATCTTTTTGGCAAATTCAGAAAAAAATGTCATTTTTTACCAAAAGTGGAAGAAATTTAACCAGTCGAGATGGTGGTGCTGGGAGGCGGCGGGAGGCGGTTGGAAAGGTATCCATAATTTTTTAATTTGTTTATGGGTTTTTACTATTTTTATTATTTTTTGAAAAAAATCAAAAAAAATGCTTTTTAAATTTTGATTTTATAAATATTTTATAAATTATAATAATTTTTTATGATTTTTAAATATTTTTTTACGTTTTTTTATGATTTTATTATGAATAAAAGCATTTCAATATGAATTAATACCCTTAAGGGTATTTAGGGTAGAAAATCAATGTTTAGTCCTATTTAGGGAATTTAAAAAGTAGTAGTCCTATTTGTGTTTATTATGAACTTATTAGTCCTATTTAGGATAATTTCTGTATAAGAAATGAAACATTAATTTCAATGTAAACAATGAAAAGAAGTCTATATGTCTAATTTCTTTACGTAAATAGTGAATATGTTTTGTTTTTAATATGAGGGTTATCGAAACTTTTTTTAAAAAAATCATGCTTTCGCATCTAAAACACACGTGAACAGTGCTTTTTCTTTATTTCAATAGCATACGTTTATTTTGTGATGTAACTCGTGTTAGTAACTCGCGTGAAATCAAAATGTAACATCATCAATATAACTAAAATCGCTTTTATAGTAAATGATTTGCAAGTAGTTAAAGGCATGGGGCTAATAATTCATACACAGGTTATCCGACTAATATCTGTCATTTTTTTTTTGGGAAAAGTACGGAAAAGGTACTTGTGGTTGGGCCCGTTTTCAGATAGGGTCATGTGTTTCATTCTTTATCAAAGTAGTTCATGTGTTTGAATTCCGTTATCACAAGAGGGTCACGCCGTTAAAAACGTCTGGAAAAGACCGTTAAAAGTAACTCCAATTTTCAAAAGTGCTCGGAAAATTAAAAGAAAAATACCGAAAGGAAAATGTATTGTCACTCGGAAAATTCCGTACTTTTCCCTTTTTTTTTTTATTATTATCCCAAATTTTCCGTTATTTGTTATTGTCACGTGGAATGATTTTATGCCTACGAAAATGTAAGTTGTGCGAGGTTTTACATGGAGGAAAATGTTTGATCCGTCCATCTCTAACTCTCTCTTTAAAGTTGCAGACTTTCTGCATTCATTTTTGAAACATTCCTCAATATAATCTATTAATCTTGGTAAAATATCTTATCAAAATACTCTAATTCCATAAATAAGGGACTCCACACTGTCAGATCGTGTTAATATAGAGGCATTTCAAAGTTCAAAGAAATAACACAATTTACACAAACTATAAAAAACAAATTAGAAAGTCTAATTTTAAAGGATAAAAGGCATATTGTATTATGACTCTTTCATGTTTTCACTTTTCTAAATTGTCATTGCAATTTGGAGGAAGGGACTATATTCTAGGGAAAGTCTACCATATAAGAGTAGTATGTTTATATTTCAAAATATAGTACCTTTTTTAAACTTGGAAATACCACCTTTAATGTTTGATAATCCCAAAACATGATAATAATTACTCATATTTAATTAAGGAATAAAGTAGGATCAAATGCATAAATGATACCTTAACTATTGGTAATATTGCATTTTGGTAATAACTCTTAAATGAATCAAAACGGTATCTTAATTATACATAAATGTTTCGAATTGAGATTTTATTCAAATTTCTGACCAAAAAAACATGTGTGGCGGCCAGAATTGTATGCGTAAAGTCTACTTCACATTAGTTTCGATCGTCATGAAGGATTTTTTGGTCGGAAATTTGAATAAAATCTCAAGTTGAAACATTTATGTGTAGTTAAGGTACGTTTTGATTCACTTAAAAGTTCAGGTACCAAAATGCAACATTAGTGGTAGTTAAGGTACCATTTATGAATTTGACCCGAATAAAGTACAATAATCCTATTTTAAATTCACAAATGTTTTTACTCCTCTTAAACCAATTTCTTACTATTATAATGCTCCAAATGTTTTAGTGTATTTATGTAATTTTCCTTTTAAAATGAATCTAGCTTCCAGCTGCTGGTCGATTAAAAGAAACATATTGAGCGACCTTAGCTTGCCTATATATACATATAGGCATATGCATATAAAAGGAGTTTCATATGATAGAGAGAACCACAAAAGAAAGGGAAAAAAATGTTGTCTTTGAGTAATGATGGCAATATCACTAATAATGACAATTGGCTAGGATTTTCACTTTCCTCCCAATCTAATCCTTCCGTTTATTCAGATTTAGCTCCATCATCAAACTTTTCTAGCACTACCTCAATCAATTATCCTAATGGCATTTGGTATGGGCTTGAAGGTGATCAAGAGAATGGAGGGCTCTTCTATGATTTATCTGATGGCTCTCTTTGCACCATGGAGTATTTCCTCAGGTCACACCCCCAAGGTTCTTATTTACCTAAAATCTTGAGCTGTTTATATCAACACTACTATTAGTACTTTCTCATTTCGAGTCTTATCAGGATCGAATTGCTCGTTTAAGTTTAACTTTTTCGAATTTGCCTCGAAGGCTTGGTGATCTCGACACCGAAACGTGATGACACCGCCTATCACCGACCTGCAAGTGGTGTGACTTTGAGCTTAGACAGTCAAGGATTCATTAACCATGTCCAAGCAAACTCCATGCATCATCATCAACAACAACAAAATCTACTTCAACAAATCAATGACTACACTCCTGTGGAGTCCGGAGATTTTCAGACATTGAGCTTATCGATGAGCCCCGGGGGGTCACATGTGACCACCGCGCAGCGACAGCAACCCGCACCCACGGCTACTGAGTGTTTAGTCATCGCGGACCACAAAAGAGGACCAGGTCAGGTAAATCATAAACAGATTGGTCACAGGAAGCCGTTTGATACATTTGGGCAGCAACGAACTTCCCAATACCGAGGTGTTACAAGGTTATGTAATTTTTCACTTTAGATGAATAAATTGAATGATACTTGGTACATTTTAGGTGATTGCTATTTACCCCTTACTCGTTAATAATTAAGGGTAACGTACCTACGATGCATTTCCAATTCATTGGTTTGTGTCATTATTTGTCAACTGCAATATTCTAGTAGGTTCATATATTCTACACTTTATGTCACACTTTAACATGTATTGTATGTCTAAATAGAATAATACATGCATGCAGGCATAGATGGACTGGTAGATATGAAGCTCATTTGTGGGATAACAGTTGTAAGAAAGAAGGACAACGGAGGAAAGGAAGGCAAGGTTAGTCTATCACCGAAATGTAAAATGTTGGGTCATAGGAATCATAAGATACTTGGGTCAAACTAAACTGAAGGATTGAGTTCAATCCATTAGTTAGTTTTACGCAAATTCTTATTATTGACTCATCATTTTCTTTTTACTTGTAGGACATGATATTCTAACACTCACCAATGAGACATACTAATAACTATATATAGCATTAAGTTTGTTTCTTAATTAATCCTTACCAAGCAATTTGTTTTGCATTTTTTTGCTCTTCCATGGTGATTAATGACTGGGCATACAATTTCACACCAAATGGCCGCAGTTTATCTAGGTAAGGGATTTTCAATTTGTAACAAATTTTGTATGTAGCAAACAGTGTGTGTTAGCATTTTCTTCAAGACAAATCTCTATATGAATTAATTAAAGTCATTTGCATATTGACAATCTTTCATTAGCACATTCAAAAAAGTTAACAATCCTAATAATTAATGGTTATAAATATATTTTTGAAATATGTATTTAGGAGGTTATGACAAGGAAGAGAAGGCAGCTAGGTCATATGATTTGGCAGCAATCAAATACTGGGGAACTTCAACCCACATCAACTTCCCTGTATGAATTAATCCACATTGTTTAGTGTCATCTTCTATTGTGATTTATTCATCATATTTGTGCTGCCAAACACTTCTCTTAATAAACCAAGGCTAAAGGTATGTGTGCAAAATGCTTTATAATGTCTATGTAGTTGGAGAACTATCAGCAAGAGCTAGAAGAAATGAAGAACATGACAAGACAAGAATATGTTGCCCACTTGAGAAGGTAACTACCTGCTAGCTTCTTAAAAAAATATTCTATTAGACTTACCTAGGAAATTTCAAATTTACCCACATAATTCATATAAAAAGGGTAAGTTTGAAGTAATTGTGGTAAGCTTTTATGGATTGTGTAAATAGGGGAGAGTTCTAGCTAGTGAGATCATTTATTAAGATGAGAACATTTTATATCACATACTCACATATCATATCACATTTCATTCACCGGCCTCAATATTTTCTTCATATAAGATGTCAATTAAATATCAAATAGATTAGATAAATATTTAAGTGAGAAGTAATTATAGTTAGGAATGTAGAGTTCTTACCCTTAATTGCATTTTGCTTTCAGAAAGAGCACTGGTTTCTCAAGGGGAGCATCTATCTATAGAGGGGTTACAAGGTCTTGATAATTTAATTATTGCACACATTTTCCATATTTATAAATCAACTAGATCATTTAGGACGGTTAAAAAATTAAAATCACTTGTTTGACTCATTTGATTTACCTTTTTTCCCTTTAGCAGACATCATCAACACGGAAGATGGCAAGCACGAATCGGCCGAGTAGCCGGGAATAAAGATCTTTATTTGGGAACATTCAGTGAGTTCAATTCATCTATATTAATTAGTTACTGTGAAGAATTATAATTAGTTGATATAATAAATATAACTAATTAATCCATCTATGCCCATTTGAACTCCATGTATGTTTGGGGGACGTTTGTAATTTAAATTATCTTTCTACTTCCCGTAAACACAATTTTATTACGTGAGAATTTATCAGATAGGAATAAAAACATTTTAAGAAATACTATCAAACAATGAATGTCTTTAATGTCGAAACATGATAGTAGTTATTAATTTGCATCAATCAGAGAATAAAAATATAGTAATCATATTTGAAATTCACAAACATCTTTACTTCTATTTAGAACAATTTCTTTTTTATTAATTTGTAGTACTATTCTATCATGATGTAAGAGCATCCCCAATTCAAAAATATGTACAACACATAGGTGGCATGAGAGAGATGGACATATAAAATTTAATAAGCAGAATATATTTCTCCATAATTGAATGATTTTATATGTTTTTGGCAAGTTTTTTTTACAATGTTGAGTACAATGTCTAAATGTAGACATTGTGATTAACATTGTTGGAAAAAATTATAAAAAATACATAAAACCGTGGCAAGCAGGAGACATAAATTTCATGAATTTATTCTTTTGCATTCATCTCTTTTATACCACATGTATACCGTATACTTTGTAAATGATTGTACAATTAATGTTTAAACAACACATACTACAATAATATTTATCCCGATAACGATGGCATTTCCGGAATAAGTCAAAGGAAAAATATGAATTTTTTGAACTCCTTGAAAATCAAAGTGGCCCTCCTAAATAGCGCAACGGTTTAATGTAATAATAGTAATAATAATCCGTGTTTTTATTGGTTTCATGCAAATATATATGTTTTAAAGCTTCAATTGAACGGAATATGTCATTCAAATCCATTATGTATATAAGTAAAGTGTGTCTTCTCCTTTTAGCAATATTAGTGTAAGGCCTATGAGGACCTTCTGCGAGAGTGTTTTTGAAGGGCTCCTCCATATGTCTGTCGGCTTGACTCGTTGCTTTAATCTTAGCTTGCGTCAAAGGCTGATCCCATTTGAGAATCTCGATCTTGCTTTTGAAATACATGGCCTCTTATTGTTTTCTATTTGAAAAAGTGATCAAACCGAAATGATTATCATTTATGTAAAATATTTTTCCTCCAAATGTTAATAATGGTTTCATTGGACATTGATTTGTACTCCGTATTAAAGATTATGGAATAAAATATTATACGAGTACTTAAAAATGCCATTCACAATTCTACTAAATCGTAGGAATACAAACACTTCGTATATTAAAAATTACTCCGTATTATATACATTTATCTAAAAAAGACAACAACCAAAGAGAGAATAATTGTTATGACATGAAATGGCATGGGTAGTTAAAACAGTTATTGTTTAATGACACTTATGTGCCAAATAAATTGTATTCAACCTTTTCAACTAGTCGTGGTTGGTGTGATTAAAATGGCGAGGGACCGTGTTGGTGGTGCAAGGGGTTAGGTGGCCTTAGACCTTAGCACTCTACTCTTTTTATTTCTTTGTTGGTCCCATTAAATTCCTCTTGCTTTTGTAATTTAGTTTATCCTAATTTCAAAAAATCAATACGAGTATTATTTACTCTTTCATTCTTTTGTTTCCGACATTAGGTTTTCGCACAAGTTTTAAGGGATTGAAAATAGTAGAAGTGATGTAAAATGATAGTCATCTGATAAAATAAGAAAAAGATAATAAAGTAATAAAGTATGTGAAAGAATGTAATTAAATGTAAAATGTAAGACTATTAAGATATTTTGATAGATAACTTTTTATAAAGGGGAAGTGTTGCAAAGATTAAAATACCGCTTGGAAAGGAAAGTGTTACCAACAAAAGAGTATGGAGAGAGAGTGTAACTTTGTTTTGTCAATTTAAGTCTTCTCATAATGAGACCATATTAAGACTTCTAAAAAGTTAACATCATAGGCAAATAAGTAATATGCCTATTATGTTGATTTGAGACCATACTAAGACTATATAAGTTGATTTATATTTTTATAGACAAATGTGGTTCGTTGGAACATACTAATCTTGTCGTAAGAGCATATCAGACTTGTATTTCGTGCTCATTGTTGAGGATAACCATGATCAAATTGTTCATTATTAATCAGTTCTCATATCATACAAGTATTTGAAATTTCATCCTAAAAGGTCAAACAAGAAGACAAACCCAATACTTTATATGTTGATTTGTAATTTTATATGTACCAATATGAGATGACTTAACAAATCAAAGCAAATTACAATAGACTAGCCCGACCAAACATGACATCACATCAACAGATTAGGATAGACTAGACTCAAGCAACAGTAAAAAGCACACAGATTAAACCATTTCGGATTCAATCAATACAGATCAGATCAAATCAAATCAAACAATACTTAAACAGACTACACGAAATCGGAAAACTTCAATCCATGTAAAAACATCTTCCAAAATTCAACTTTTGCAAGTTCCTTGATATAATAGGCAATTTACAAAGTGAAACTCATTTAAAAATAATCATTCATTCATGGGTTCTTTTTCAAGGGAACAAACAAAGGTTTGATTATTATGGTTAAGAAATTGATAGGTGAAACTCTTACTATGTTAATAATTGGACTTGAACTTTCTATTTTGGGTTGATTTGTTCTGACCTGGTCTGACCTTTTATTATTGTCTAAGTCTGATCTAGAGCCCGTTTGGTAGCACCAAAATCGGCTGTTTTGGCTGATTCTGCTGAAATTTATGATATTCTGGCTGGAGTGGCTGTTTTGGCTGATTCTGCTGATTTAAGAAAAAAAATATTTTAAAAATATATTTTATTAATAAATTAAAGAAAAAATTATATGTAAAAATAGCTAAAATGGTCCTCTACAGTAACTTCAGCCAATACAGCCAGAAAAGTAACTCCAACCTTACTTTTTCGACTTATTACACAATTCAGCGCGCGAAAATAAAAGTTACGTGTTTGGTGAAAAAGCTGGCTGATAAGCCTGATAAGCCGAAAACAGAGTTCTCCAAACGGGCTCCTAGTTTATTATGATGTGTTTAAATCTAATACTACCTCCGTCCCTGAATTTACTTCCAAAATAAAGTGACACGCAGATTAAGAAAGTGAGAATTGTGTGGTAGAGAGTTGTATAGAGGGGAGAGAAATGGTGTGAACCACAAATTATTTGCAAAAAAGGGAAACTGAAGTTCTTTTTGGGACGGACGAAAAGGGAAAGTTGGAAGTATTTTCATGGACGGAGGGAGTACGAAGTGTGATCTAATTAAAATGAAGTTTGCTTACTCATTTACCCCTAAAGATTTGGTTGAAATGAAATAATAAATCATACTACGCTCCACAACAACTGCCTTCATTCTCATAAACAATCAAACAAATATTATCAATTTTGAGTATTTGACACATCAAATTATAAAGGGACAATTTTAATAGGAGGAACTTTATATTTTACTTGTAAATGGAATATTTGCTTCAATTCTCCCTTTAATTAAGCTCTCTAATGTAATTGAAGCCACTCAAGAAGAAGCAGCGGAGGCTTATGACGTAGCTGCGATCAAGTTCCGGGGGTTGACGGCGGTGACAAATTTTGAGGTTTCCCGGTACGACGTTGACCGTATAATGGAGAGTGAGCCGCTTCTGACCGGAGAACAAGCAAGACGAGGAAACCACAACACCACGACACCGTACCTGCAGAAACCCACGGACGCCGGCGGCGGCGGTGCTAACGTTGTTGCCGAAGACGATTTCCGGGGCTCTTGTTTGTTAGGCGGCGGCCTGCAGGCGGCCGGACTGGATTATTACACGATGATGATGTTAAAGACAGCAAATAATGACTTCTCCAATACGTCGTCGTTGGTAAACAGCGTGCAGAGCTCCAGAGAAGGCAGCCCCGACATGAACACGGCACTTCCGGCGACATTTCCGTCGTCGACGGCCAACTTTTATGAGATAACGACGAATAGTAGCAGCGGCAGTAATGTGAATTCATGGGCCTCATCGCCACCGGCCCAGATGAGGTGTCCTGTGTTTGCTGCATGGTCGGATCTGATGCCTAGCTAACTAATAAACTGTCTTTCGGGTCATATAGTATACACTCCGTATGAGATATGATAGGGGGACTAAATTCGTTGTTAACCTCAATTTTCTGAAAATTATGATTATTTTGCATGGGGGTTGAAGAACAATCTGACCTCAATTAATCTATATGGGTCACTTCTTTCCTGAATTTATTATGCCGTACGTATTTATTTTCTCATTTTGGTCACAACATATTATTAGCTCCATCCCAAAATTGATTTGCAAATTTGACTTAAATGTAGTTTGTGAATACGTAAATTTTAATTATGAAAAATTGAATCAATTATCTATAGGAAGGATTGACTTTTATTATGGGTTGACAAAAAAATGTTGACATTGCAAAACAAATTGGGACGGAGGGAGTACTTGGTAATATAATTAGGCCTTTGATATGATGTAGAATAATTACGTATTACTTTGCTTGTGAAGTATTCGGGCTTAAAATATTTTGCATGTCATTTATAAACAATTGTAACGTCTTTGCGTGCAATTTAAAAATAAATCACACACCTATCAAATAATGTAATCAATTTTAGTATTAAACATATAAAGTGATTACTTTCCTAAATTTTTAGGTGTCGTTTAGTAGTTTACACGTCAAACTTTTGCACGCGAAATGATTGCAGGTACAATTTGGCGAAATGATTACACGGTACGTAAATCATTGCACATGTTACCTCCCTAAACGAGCGTCTTATATTGACTCGATATTAGTAATTTAACTTTAGATAAAATCAACTAAGATTGATAATCAAGTTATCAACACAAGCCCCACGCAGTTTATCAATTTGATCAATATAATCAATCTCCTTTTAGATTATTAACCATAAGACGCATGCATTAGTAATTTACAGTTACTACCTTTGAAAGGATCAAGCGAATAACAAGTGTATTCATTGATCGACTCTAGCAATAATTAATATGAAAACATTAACTAATTGATCAATTAGTAATGCTCAAATATCAATATAAAATAAAATCAAGAATGTAATTACTATTCAAAAGAAAATCATCAAAGAAAATAACACATAACTTACAAAACATAAGCTTCAATATAGTGAAATCAAGATGAAAGAGTTTAGCTTCTCATTTGGAGATTAAACATGTACTACGTCCGTCTCAATAACATTGGGACATGAAGAGGTGGTGCGGTTATTAAAAAGTGAGTTTATGTGGTTGATATTGGATTGATAAAATAAGAATAAAATAAGAATGATTTAGAACCACAAAAACTTTACCAAATTTGATATGAGACTGATATATACTATTTAGTAGTGCATAAACACCACATTTTAGAATGGTTTTACATTATGTTTACTTAGCTTTTGTACAATTACGGTGTAATCTTTATCTTCTAAAATTAAAGTAGAATTAGAAGATATTGAGATATTTTGATATGTAAGCAAAAACATGATGAAAAGAAGAGAAAGGAGCTTGGGAGCATAAGGAAGGAGCATTGGAGACAAGAGGAAGATTCATGGAGAACAAAGAAATGTGAAAAATCAAATATGATTTGATCCAGAAATCTTAAGAGATCAAATAAAGCAAGTGAACATGGGAAAATCAGATTATGTCTTAATTAGACCCAACCACCTCACTCCTCCTATAAAAACACCCCTTTCCTTCCTATTTTAGATACCAATTTAATCCCCTCTTTCATATACACTTTATTCTTGTAATTTAGGTAATCTTCCCATCTTGGTTTTGCTACTTTGAAGCTTAATGAATTGTAAGTTGTGAGTTATTTTCTTTAATCTTCTTCCTTGAATATTAATTTTTCCCTTAATACTATCTCTGTATTAATGTTGGGGAGTGTTACTAAGATGACAATTAGTTAACATCTCGACATTAGTTAGACTAGTATTTATTTTTTTCCTCTATATTAATGTTGGGAAGTGTTACTAAAATGACAATTAGTTAACATCTTGACATTAGTTATAGTAGGATTTATATCTTCTTTAATATTCTTCCTTGAATATTAATTAATTCCTATTCATATTTCATTTTAATATTTTGAGCATTACTTAAAGGATCAACTAGTTTTGTCTCATATATTAATTATTACTAGAATCGATCGACGAATACGCTTGTTAATCGTTCGATCTTTTCACGGTAGTAAACTTGGATTATTAATGCATGCGTCTCATGGTTAATAATCTAAGGGGAATTAATTATATTGATTAAACCAATAAACCGCTTGTGTTGAGGTTATCAATTTCAATCGTTTTCATCTTGAATTTATTGGTACTGTCGAGTAAATATACAACACGTGTTCTATATTAATTCGGTAGTAAGTTTTATTAATGAACGCGTCTCGTTATTAATAACTACCCTCGATGAACTGGATATACTCCTCGATTGAGTATTCGAGAGGAAGATAGTTAAAAAGATATAACCGGGATCGACGAACATTTCATGAAGTGGACAAAAGCAAAACCAAGACTAATTACCTTTGATATTTTATTTCACTCATTTAAGTATTTTATTTGCTTTCTCAATTATCAAAATATCCAATTCCCCTTCCGTTTACTTTTATTTATTACGCTTACACATACGCGAAAAGCTCCTTTCCCCGTGGATACAAACTCTACTACGCTATACTACGGTATTAGCCCTTAGTAGTGAATTTAATTTGATGCACACTACGACAAAGTGCACGTCAGAGACAATCTTAGTGGGATGAGATGAAAAGGAAAGACAAAACAATCTTAGCGGGACAGAGGGAGTAAGAAATATAAAGGAAAATATTCATCTAAACCGAGCTTTATGATATGGAAGAATGAATATCCAAATGGGAAGAAAAATGTATGTATTTATAGATGTTTGGAGGGTGCAGGATCGGATACCCGATTGGGGTATGAGTGATACCCAACCGGGTATCCATGGCTATATATAGCCCGGAAGGTCACATCTCACATCATACCCGACCAGGTATGACAATTACCCGATCGGGTATAAAACCACAATCTGATTTCCCATGTCTTTGCATAGTAAAATATATTCCTTGATATTATCTGATACACGGGTCAAATCATACCCGACTAGATATATATAGCTTATACCCGATTGGGTATGTGACCAAATGGACGATTTGCCAATTTTAGTTTTAGAATTTATATTGTAAGAAAGCTTCTTGTTTATCTAATTATATTGTAAAGTGGTTAATTTATCACTATTATTCAACATTTTAACCCACATAAATCAAATATCATACTACGTACGTATGTTTCAAAGCATATCATCACTACTCTTTCCGGGAAACTAATTAATTAACAAAAGAGTTCAATTCACTAAATAATTCACTTCCAAAATTACTGTTATAAAGTACTCCGTATATTGGAATTGGAGAAATCAAATTATAACCAATTGAACCTATCTTCACTAAACACTTCAAGATTACAATTCAATCATTCTTGGGATCATCAAGATTTCTAAAGTACTCCATATACTTTACAAACCTAAAAAAGCCAGAACGAATGATGAAATGCACGCAATCCTTCATGCATGGTAAAGATTTTGAGTACTGAAAGGGACGTCGCCCCCAATTTCTTTTGTTACTTTTGACCATTTAAATTATTCCGATCCGTTTTGCTGCTCAAATGCATAATTAGCATACAATTAGATTTTGGGGAAGATTGCTTCAACAGTTCAACATTACATGTTGGTCATGTTGCATACCTTATAAGAGTCCATTTTGTAATCACTATTGAGTTTATCAGTTTTAATTAGGGAAATTTCCTAGGATATTAGTAAAACTCAATGAGTTTCTTAATAAGAATTTTCGTATGACCTAACTAGTTTTTAGACTTTAGTATGACCGAAAATCCAAAAAAAAAGAATTTTCGTTTATATTTAAAGGTTGAATGACAAAAATACCCTTATTTAAAATAAGTGCATTTTGCACTAATTTCGTCCAATTAAAAATACTGCATTTTATATTGTCGTTACTGCACAACATTACTGCACTATATTAATGCACATCCGTGATAATCATTGCGCTTCCACCAAGATTAATTCTCTTCTCATTCATTTTAAGAATTTATTTATAGTTTTTATTTTTGATTTTTTTAGATTTTTTATTTTTTAGATTTATAATTTTATTATTTTACGTCTAATTAAGTATATTGCATTTCATGACGGCATTACTGCTCTGCGTTACTGCACTACGGGTCATAATCAATGCACAACAAACTTACTCAATGCATTCAATACAATTTCATGTACAATATGCAGTATTATTCATTGTCATGTTCACTATCGTATTCAATCACTGCATTGTCATATTCACCGCCAAAGCTCAATGTCCACAAACCCTAAATTCAACGAATTAAAATCTCAAAAATAGAGAAATTAAAAACACTTTTCAAACTCTTATTTAGAAGCCGCCGTTGAGGACATTGAAGAAGACTTTTCAAAGTCTAATTTTGAAGCCGCCGTTGAGGAAATTAGAAGAAGACTTTTTAAAGCCTCATTCTCCATCTCAATTTCTTAATTTTTTTTAATCAAATACTGGCTTTTGAATTCTTCAAAGACCAACCTATCCGCTGCGACTAGCTACCTTCCACGACTCCAGATCTGGTGATTCCAATCCATGGCTCTAGATCGGCGACTTTGCTCTCACACTGGATGTCGGTGGAGGCGGCGCGGCTGTATTGTGGGCGGAGGCTGTGCTGCGGCGAGCGACGATCGTTGAAGACGCCATGGCACCCAGGTCGGACGGACGTCTTCTCAGATTGGCGATTTTTCTCCCAAGCCGTTAGATTGGCACGAACGACTGACAACCTCTTCGGCGGCGGCGTGGCTGTACGTTGGGCGGCATCGTCACTGTACGGCGGCAGGGGTGGGCATCTGTACGCAGGGCATTGCTATAAAGTTTAGGGTTAGAAGGAATAGGATATTAGGCTTTTATAGTCATAGTTTAAGGGCATATTAGTCATAAAAAATAATTTATTTAATTATTTATTAATATATTAATTAATTAATACGAATTTTAATTATATTTTGAGAAAAAAAATCATTAGGTCATAGATTGGGAATGTGGTGGAGTTTTAGTAATACCTAGGATAATTATCTCTTTTAATTATTTCTATTTTTTTGAATGAAAACACAAATTTATTAATAATAAAAATGATCAGTACAAAAGTAATTCGGATAGTCTAAGGCTACAATGAGATGAACATAG